GGGCAGTGGTAAAGGCGAGGAAGGGCGGGGCACGCGGTGGAGGGGGCGGTGGAAGGGCCGGGCAGGACAGCGAGGCGCGGGCCTGGCGCGGACGCCGGTCGTCTGTTGGGCCCCCAAGCATGCTGTCGGGGGCCTCGAAATGTGCACTGCTGAACCTCATCAGTCGAGCCGAGCCTGGGGCTCAAAGACCCATCAGCTTGCTGCTGAATCGTCATCCCTCCTTTGCACGCTGCACCACGCCCACCAGTGCCCTTTCCAAACGCACCCCGTCCCCTCAGGCTCCGTCACCGCCAGCGCCGCGGACGACGTCGCCCCGCCCATGCGCACCCCGCCGCGCGGCATGTCCAAGATCAACGCCGTCCGCGTCAGCGTGCGGCCGCGCTCCGCCATGATGGGCCGCAAGCTCACCGCCGCGGCGCCGCGCGTGGCCAGGTGCGCGGTTTGGTGCCCTGGGCAAAGGGGCGATCGCTTGTGTAGCTGACCGCGTGCGGGCTCTTGCCGATGATGCAGCCAGCCAACGCAGCAGTGCGGCACGAGGCACGAGGCGCTGCTCTCCTGACCCTGACTGCGCAGCCTCAGTGGCGCCCTCCTGTTGCCCCAATCTTCCCTCCCTCCACGACGTGCATGACACACACCTGCCCACCGGTGATCAAACCTCGCAAACTGCAGGCTGCATTCGGGCGTGACGGCCCGGCCGGCTGCACGCGCGCACGCCGTTTCTGCGCGTGCAGGCCGCGCAGCCGCGACGCCCGCTATGCGCATGGTCTGAGAGTGAACGCGCGCCTTGCCGCTTCGCTTTGGCTGGAATTGTCATGCAATTACAGAATCCAATTTTGGTGCTGTGTATAGAATGCAAGTACAAAGTGCAACATGAGGGCACGAAATCAGACATGGTGACCAAAGTCGCTGATGTTGGTGATGAGTGGGGGGGCAGTGATACAACACAAACGTACAAGCCAGGAGGTAGCCACACACCAGCACTCCCCCCTACTGCTTCACACGAGACTAATAGCCCGTCCGCCCCCAAGTGTCTCACCACCATAATCGTGCACCCAGCATATTCCCAGTTCAATTTTAAAGCTCCCTGGATTTGGAAATAGGTCGGGGTCTCCCCCTCACCCCAACCCCCCTGCTGTCCAAATACTCCCAGCCAGGAAAAAGTGCACATGAGTGATAAAGTGTCCCTGCGTTGGCCACTCCTGCATGCTCTTGGAAGTCGAGCACATTAACTGCTGCACCGCACCCTAGTACGGTGAAAAGGCAAACTCGCACCACAACACCAGGAGCGCAGCGGCTGTCGACGCGACGCCCGCGGGAAGCATGAGGCGCGTGAACTGCACATACGTCGTCCTCAACCCCCGCTGCTTGATGATTGCTACCCACATGATCCCAGCCAGGGATCCGATGACAGTAAAGCACGCGGCCGTGTTGCTGCCCACGACGACGGCAAACAGCGCCGCCTGCAGGTTGTGCCGCACCGCGGCCGGCGCGACGGCGCCGGCGGCGGAGGCGGCGGCGGCAAAGGCGGGGCTCATGCAGGCGCGCGTCAGCAGGATTGTCATCGGCTGGTTGACAATAAGGTTGGACATTAGAACAGAAATGGCGCCGAGGAGCCACAGCCCTGTGAGGGTTGGACGAGAGAGGCAGCGGAGGGCAACACAATGGGTGTTGAGCTGGCAGCTCGAAGCTGGCAGAGACACTGTTGCTGCAGGCCAACGAGCACAAGCGAAAGCGCACAGCTCGGTCGGTCTGAACGACCCCTCTGACACCACCGTGCATGACAAAGTCCGCCGCCGCGCGACGCACCTGCCGCGAGACTGCGGGCGCTGCCGCCCAGTGCGGCCCCGAGGCGGTCCACCCAGCCGTTGGCCGACAGGCCCTCCACCAATATGAAGAAGCCCAGCACCAGGGGCACCACGTCCCAGGGCACGCTCCAAAACGGTCCCCAGAACGTCGGCCGCTTGGCGGCCAGCTGGGTGCGGAGGCTGCTTGCGGCCGCCGCCGCGCCGCTCGGAGGCTCGTCGGCCGCGCCCGCACTGGCCGCCGCCGCTGCTGCGGCCGCCGAGTCGAGATCGCCCGGCCGCAGCGGCGCTGCGTCTGGCGCCGCAGGTGTGTGGTCCAGTTCGAATGGGGCCAGGCCCGGCTGCTGCTGCACACGCCAGGCGGCAGCATCGCCCGCTGCTGCTGTGTCCACAGCTGCCCCATTGGTGGAGACCGCCAGTGGCGCGCGTGCGCCAGTGGACGCCTCGGCTGCCATGTCCGCTCCTGCCCACACAAGCAGCTCGCTGCCCGCCCCGCTGCCCCCTGCGGCGCCCTCCTTGCTCGCATCTCCGCCGCTGCCGCCACCGCCATTTGCGCTGTTGCCAGCGTCAAAGAATTGACTGCTGCTTGGTGTCGCCCCGCCGCGCCCGCTGCGCGGCAGCAGCTCTGCAACCGACCGCCCGCCGCGCCGCCCCTGCGGCGGCCGCGGCAGCCGCCGCTGCCACAGCGGCGCAAGCACGTACGCGCACAGCCCATATGCGCAGCTCGCGCCGGCGCACACCAGGGTGACCGCCCACAAGGGAAACCCGAGCGACGGCGCCGCGGCCAGCAGCGCGAGGCAGACCGCTAGGTTGGCGGCCCCGAATGCGGCGCCCCAAGGATCTGACAGCACTGATGCGGGCGGGATCTCGGGAAGGGCCAGCCGTGCTGGGAGGGCGCGGCGGTGTGTCAAGTACAGCACCGTCGTCGCGGCCAGGCCGGCGGCGGCCGTGGGGGCGAGCATCCAGCGGGAGTAATCGAGGAACGACAGCGAGAAGGCCTGCGCAACGATGATGTTGGTGGGGTTGCCTGCGGAGGGTGGCCGTGGCATGCTGATGAGTTGGCGTTGGGTGCAGGAAGGACAGGCGCCAGAGGTAGGCATGGGCGCAGACCACGACAACCAGGAACTGCGGCTGGTTGCGGTGTGTGTGCGCGCGCGCGCGCGTGTGTGTGTGTGTGTGTGTTTGCAGGGAGGCATCTTGGAGAATGGCCAGCCGTTGAGAGCAGACGTGAGGGAGGGCCCTGGAGATGTGATGCCACCCACCGATGTAGAGAGCCATGGACCAGAGGTTTGACGCCACAAACTCCGCAGCCAGAAAGGGCATGGGCTCGGCGCCTGCGCGTGGCGGGAAGTAGCGGAGTGCTCAACACGCGCCTGGGGTCAGGGCAGGGGTGCCGGGCTGACGAGACGGCTGTGAGCGATGCGCAGGGCACGCCGCTACGCTCAGGGGCGCCAGAGCGGGCACCTTGCGCGGTCACTGCAGCGCATTGCATCATCGGAGTGCTCCCGTGGCTCACCGCTGGCCACGGTCTGCACGTACACGATTGGCGTGAGGCTCATGACAACCACCTGGGCCACAGTTGAGGGATTGCAGGATGCATGCGTTGAGAGCATGCGCGCACGCGTGCCTGAGCGCATGCGCGCATGGGTTGAGAGCATGCAGCAGAGCGTGGCATGCGCGAAGGCCGCATGCTGCTGTGCGGCGGCCGCCCTGTCGCGCCCGGCTGCTGTGGGCATCCCACAGGGACAGAAGTGCTTCGCGGCAGCGCCGTCGGCACTCACGTCGTTGCTGATGTGTGCATGGAACGTTGGCAGGGCCAGGGGGTGGCAATGGCGCGTGCAGCGGGGTTAGGGTGGGGTCCTTTTTAGCTTGTAGCCATGAAATGAGGGGCTCCTGCAAGATGAGCTTCACAACGTATCATCGCATCTTCACGACGATACGTTAAACGCCCCCCACTTGCACCAAACGACAGCAGCAGAGCAGCAGCGTGCCCGAGCCAGGCGGCGCAGCCGCGGAGTGCTCACCTGGTGAAGAGCGTGACCACGGCCGCCAGCAGCGACTGCAGCACAAACAGCCGCGGGCCCGTCGTCGCGGCGCGCCCCGTCATCTTGAGGGCGAGCCAGGCAAACGCGCCCGTCTGGTCGAGCGCCGCAGCGATGTAGGCAAGCGCCAGGAACAGGATCAGGATGGAGTATGGCTGGATTGATGAATCCCCCAGTATACCGTTCAGCAGCCCGCGGCTGTCCAGGCAGCCGGCCGCGAGCATCACAAGGACGCCCAGCGGCGGTGGGAGCCAGTGCGGGATGCGGACGGCGACAGACGCGCGCACGCCGCCGCTGCTGCTGCCGCCGCCATTGCGGGCGGCACGGAGGCGGCGCGGCACGGGGACTCGCAGCTTGACGGGCAGCAGGACAAGCGCAATCACGCAAGCCACTGAGACGAGGAAGATGACGAGTGCGCCGATCGCGCTCGGGGTTGGCGGCCCAGTGCTGGCGCCTGCATCCGCAGCGGCATCTTTGGCATCAAGCGCCTCCATCAATGCGTGTGTGTTGGGGTCTTGGGCTCCCAACGCGATCGCAAAAAGCGCCACTGCTGCTCAATGTGTGATTAGCTGCATGAGCTCCTTCACCAGTGATCACGGCATGCGATAGGTTCGGCACCAGGGTCAAGATCAGCGTGATGGCGTCGGAGAGACTTGTCGCTTTCCTCAAGCTTCATATGTTGAACGGAATTGCGCCGCTTGGTTTTCCCGCTACGGCCTTCCCACGACATTTGCTGCTGGGATTCCACCGGCCACTCTATTTGCCTACACGGCCGCCCATTCTCGCGCTTTGACGTTTGGAAGTGCTCGATTCGATTCCATCGATATCCTGATTGAGCGTGTGAATTTGCGCAAGGAGCGGCCTCTGGCTGAAGCAGCAGCCACACCTATCACCCGAAAGAGCCCGCGGCCGCGGCAGGAGCAGCAGCAGTAACAGCACAATGCAGTCGTTGGTCAGGACCAATGCGACGGCCGTGAGCAACCCGCTCTTCGGCAACAGGCTGAGCTATCGCATGGTGGCAGCACCGGCGCCGAGCACCCAGGCGACTAGGCAGGTCGTGACGATGGCCAAGAAGAAGGGTGTGCGCATTATCGTGACTATGGAGTGCACCGAGGCCCGCGGCGAGGGCCTCACGCCGTCGCGCTACACCACGCAGAAGGTGCGCGGCTGCCATTGCTGCTGCCCGCCATGCTGCTGCGAGCCCCATTCAGGCTGCGCTTCGCGTCAAGCAGCTACAAAATTTGCCTTCTGCGTTACGTATCTGCCGCACGGCGCGGGGCAGGCAGACTAGCTGCTTTCCTGCCGCCACCACGACCAAGCCGTTGCCACATCGCTTTGGGCTCACCCTCCCTGATCAACGCCTCAACCCCACACTTCTGTGCTCCATTTGCAGAACCGCCGCAACCACCCGGAGCGCCTGGAGCTCAAGAAGTACAACCCCAACCTGCGCCGCTACACCCTGCACCGCGAGATCAAGTGATCGCTTCGAACGGATGCCACGGGCGCCGCCATTCCTTGCAGCATAGCGCGCAGGGCCGCTGGCGCATGTATTATGCGCTCGCGGCGCTGGTGTGACTGCCTAGGCGGTGCAGTAGCAGCAGCAGCTGTGGAGGTGGTCGCTGCAGGCGGTCAGGTGCAGCGCCTATGCTGGGGCATCGTTCCCGGCGTTTGGCCGTGCCAGCTGCGGGGCAGTGGACCGAGGGCCGCAACGCCGCGTCGCGGTTCGTGGCAGCGGCATGTAGTAGGCTTGTTCTGTAACCGATGCAATTGCTGACCTTGCACAGCACCCCTGGGTAGTCTGTGGGGAACTGCTTAGCCAGGGCCACCATAATTACATTGGGGTCGAAGAAGGCGGGACGGCAGGCACACGCCGCTGCAACTGCCACCATAAAAATTGCCGTGTTTAAGGTGCATGAGCAGCCAACACGATTCTCAACATTGGCAGGTCAAAGTCACAGGAACGAGTCTCTCATCGATTATAGTCCACACACAAGAAGTCCCAGTTGTGTTCATGCAATTGGAGGGCTTCCCTGCTGCTGCTGGTGCTGCCGCGGCTGCTGCTGCTGCTGCTGCTGTTGACTTTGCTGCTTGTCCAGCTGCTGGTGCGGCCCCCGCTTCTCCGTCAGCTGTGGTCGCTGCTTACTGCCCGCAGTCAGCCGCGCGGCCAATTGGCCAGCAGGCAGTGCCGCGACCGCCCCATCTCGCGACCCGTCCCCGAGCCGCAGTGCCGCTGCCGTTGCGTCCATTCGCCGCTGCGCCGCCTCCTCAAACCACCGCTGCTTGTGGATGAGGCCGATGCGGAACTTCAAGTCGGATCCGACATCAGAGTGCAGCAGGCGGTCTGGAGTTTTCAGCAGGTACCGGTCGAGGCCGCCTGCTCGATCGATCAGCCTGCAGAGCACGTGCGTAGAGATGCCCGCAATGTAGGCAGCACTTCAGCGAAAGCAGACAAACGCAGCTCAGGGCGGGGCTCCAGCAGGGCCAGGACAGTGGGGGCACATGTGCCGATTTCCTGGCAACTTGCAGGACTTGCAGCGCAGCGCCGCAGTTGAGGTCGGACGGGGCGCACCTCAGGGCTGTAGTTGTCAGCTTCAGCTGGACCTCCTGCCCCAAGGCTTCACTGTACAGGCGCTTGCACACTACATTTGGCTTCCAGATGCGCCGGCTCCTGCGCGCAGCAGCAATGCAGTCGCGGGCGCCAGCAGCAGCGGCAACGGTGTCAGGAAGCAACAGTGCACACGCCCTGGAACGCCTGCTGCCCGCCTGGATAGCCAGGACATGCGCATTCTTCAATGCTCCACCACCCACTTCTTTCCGTAGTCATTGCTGATCTTGTTGCCCGTCGTGATGTGCTTGCCAGCGTAGAGTGCACCTCGCGCCTTGCGTGGGATGTGGCCGCGAAGCCACTGCTCCACGCCTAGCGGCATGGGTGCCTTGCGCTGCCCTCGTCGGTGATCTGTTCACACACCCTGAACTGCGTGCGCAATGCAGGATGACGTCTGAGGCCAAGCAAATGAACGAGCGGGCCCAAGCAAGCGGTGATACGGTAATGGCCGGGCAATGCTGGATGGGAAGCAGGGTCGTCGCTGCAGAGCTGCTGCAGAGTGGTGCGTGCGTTGCCTCGTGGTCATCTTAATGCAGCACCAGGACTTCAATATGATAATTTGGCATTTGTGCAGACGGTGTGAGGTTCAGGCATGCGTCTGCACCAGGTCAATTGCGGGTCAACCACAACCAACACTTGACTCATCACCCACGCAGGGCTCACACAACAGCATCCTGCCTAGCAAGCGCTGCCGTTGCAAGAACCATGGATTCTGTGTTACATGTCCAGGCAGGAGCGCTTGCCTGGAAAATCTGGCACCAAGCAGTTATAGAGGGATATGAAACCGGCATTTGGGCTGCACTCTCCACAACGTTGCAAGCAAAAAAGTGTGGGAGCTGATGTATTGGGCGCTGGCGGCCACTGCGCAGCTGCACAGTCTCCCAACAAACCAGGCGCAGGCAGCGGCCGACGGCGACCGAATGCACATGCCCTGCCGGAGGGGAGTGCCCTGCACCACCCAAAAAACCCGGGCTCGTGCCAACGCAACACTGAGAGCGCTCTTCAATCACAAGTCTCTATACCACGGTGGGTTGGGAGGACCCTCAGACAACCAAGCAATACAGGGCAGGACGCTCGTCAGCGTAGCCAAGCCAATTGCTTGGCAACAAGGTCCGAGCCAAGATGAGGCCGTGGCGCTCGGGCATGCTGCGTGGCGCGTTGAATCGCTGCGCCCTTACCTGGGCTGCCACGCTGTAGACCCGGCTGCCGCGCTCCCTCCCCCATGGGCACAATGGTGCCTCGCATCACGCCTCCTCCATATCCCAATCGCTCTCCCCGCAACACACGCGCACACACACGTGCCCATGCCCACGCACGCACGACACGCAAGCCCAGCGCTGTCGACGGCCGCGCACGCAAGCCAAGCGCTGCCGACGGCCGCGCCATTGTGGCAGTGCCCTCACGTGTTCTTGGCCAGCGGCCCCAGCGCGGGCGCGAGGTAGTTGGTGTTCTGCCCGGGGATGCTCGCCACGAGCTCGTAGAGCTGCAGCCCCTCGTCGGGGGTGTACTCGTAGCACACGTCGAACGACTTGTTGCGCGCCTCGGGCTCGTGCAGCGCGCGCAGGCAGATGTCCGCGACGTCTGCCGCAGACACGGGCTGGGTCACACGGTCGCCCTGGTAGAGTCAGGCGGAGACCGGGGCAAGGAGAGGGTGACAGGCAAGCATGTGCGTCAGCATCGGGCAATCTGCCAGTCGAACTTTTTGAATTCTGGTGGAAAGCGCCCGCGTTTGTGCAGGCGTTGAAGCCCCTTCCGCAATACGTGCTCCCTAGCCTGCTTTCAAGCGCGTGCCTGTGGATACGGCACAGGCGCTGCTGGTCACGCCCCCCGGGCTGCCATGCCGCCACACCGTTCCCCAGCAGGAGGCCCCGCTGCACGGACGTCTGACCCAGTAACAATTGACAAACCCGCTCAAACACGACAGGCCCGGTCAAACACAACGCACCTGGTCAAACAGGAGGGCCTTGTAGCCGCCCGGCTCGTCCACCAGCGGCCCCGGCCGGATAATGGTGTAGCCGAGCCCCGACGCGCGCAGGTGCTCCTCGCCGCGCCGCTTGGCGGCCACCAGCTTCTGCAGGTCTGCGGCGTCGATGTCGGGGCGGGGGGCCCCGGAGCAGGAGAGCAGCACCACGTCCGGCTCAACACCACCTGAAGGGTGGCGGGGTTGCCGATACAGTGAGTTTAATTGACCCAAGGGGCGATGTTGTGGTGAGCACGGGCTGCAATTGGTTGGGGGCGCAGGCGCCGACGCGTGCAACGCGAGGCTGTTGAGCGGCTGGGGGGTGGGGAGGCAGATGCCAGCAGGGGTGCTCATGCCGGCAGGCGGAAAGGCCGCGTCGGGTTGAGCCGACGCCTTGGGCGGGCAACCACCACGCCTGAACCTCCAGTGACTGTCCACTGTCTTCCAGGCCCCAAAATGAGCTCAGAACTGTGAGCACAGGCTAGAACCAGCGCCAGCTGCTGCAGCACGTGCCCGTAATCAGCGGCGGGCGGGCCGCACGGCGCGCACCTGGCAGCGCCTTGATCCAGTCAATCTCCAGCTTGAACTTGTTCAGCCGCTGCTGGTCAGCCGCAGCCTTGGCCGCGGCAGCCGCGTCGCGCAGGCCCGACCCCGACGCTGCCGCGCGGCGCAGCTCGTACCTGGGCGATTACAGGGGCAGGGGCGGCGGCGGGGAGGCTGCGTTAGCACGTGTGCGGGGGCGACCAAGGCTTTGGGCCGCCAAACGACCTAGCTGCCTCACCTTTTCACACAGACGAGGTGCGCACTCGGAGCTCTCAAGCGCGAGGTGCTGTTCATTGCCTGGACCCCCGGCTCCTGCCTGCGCCCTGCGCTTCCGTGACGTCACCAGGGTCGCCGCGCCCTCAAAAGCCCACGCACCTGATGCCGACGCGCTCGATCTGCTCGGGGTCGAGCGGCGGCTGCCCGTCCTGCTCCGGCCGGAACAGGCTGAACGGCAGCCGCACCGTGCTGTACCGCACCCTGCTGGGGAACCGCGCGACGTAGCGCCCGCCGCCGCTGGTGGTCAGCACGCACGCGTAGGTGTGGCCCTCGCCCTTGACGCGCATCGTCAGCGCCTCGCAGCCGCCGAAGCGGTCCTCGCCGCCGGGCAGCTTCGGGTTCAGCTTGGCGCCCACCTGATGGACGCAGAGGGGCGGCGCCCGCGGCCGTGATCACGGGCAGGCGAGCAAGGCGAAACAGGGGTCGCTCAAGCGCACGCCGCAGCCGCGGAGACTCCGCCACAGCGACGTCGCTCGCGGTGCTGGATCGCACGCCCGTTTGGCCCCCTGCGCGCGAATCGCGCACCTCGGCGATGGCGTTGCGCGTGAACAGGGCGCCCTCGAACAGCAGGTTGTTGTCCGAGGTGATCTCGGCCGTGGCCAGGTTGGCGCGCTCAAAGTCGCGCCCCATCGAGCCGTCCTCGCTCTGGCGGGGGCGGCACACGCGCGGGCGCGGCCAGGCGCGGGGGATGCGGGGGTTCAGGCGGCGCCGCGCGGCCTCGAAGCATTGGCTCAACCTGTCCCCGTCACCGTTGGGCAAGCGCGTCAGCACCGTCCGCCGCGCCGCGCATTCAGCCGCGACCGCACGCCCCACCGCCGACAAGCCGCCGCCGCTGCCTCCGCGAACATCGCACCCGACTCCCTGCCCCACCGTCGCCGCGCCGCCATCGCTGACGCCCCGGCCAGGTGCGCCGGGCGCCGCGCGCGCACCTGGCTGCCGACAAACTGCACGTCCCACCGCAGCTGGTGGTAGAGCTTGTTGAAGTCTGCGACCTCCTTCTTGGCGTTCGAGTTGAAGGGCTTCTTGGCGCCGGGGTTCGCGGCCGCGCTGCGGGAGCGCGCCGTGCGGTTGCGCTCGTCCTGCAAGGCAGGCAAGGGCGACCGCGGGGGAGGGTGGCGGGCACCGCCGCGTCAGCGGTGCAGGTTGCTTGGGTGGTGCTCGACTTTGTGTTGGGAAGCCCCTGCCGCTCCAGGCTGCAGGCTGTCCAAAAAGCCGTCTGGGCATGTCAAGGTTGCAAACTAGCGGGTGCTCCTCTGCTGCTGCCGCTGCTGCTGCTGCTGCTGCCGCTGCCGCTGCTGCTGCTGCTGCTGCTGAGGCGGCTGCTGCTGCTGCTGTTGCTGCTGCCGACGCCGCCGCTGCTGCTGCGACTGCTGTCACCGCCGCTGCTGCCGCGGCCACCGTTGCCGCCGCC